TCTTTCCCTCACTGTTCATCACAGTAGACACCTTCCACCCTCTGCCCCTGCCCATCATTTGTCAAATGACTCAGGATGTGTCCCCTTAGCTCCCTAGGCCAGAAGTCGGTAGTACCTGTAACTTCCCCATGCTGCACTGATGAGTGTGTAGGATGCTTCTTTTCACCTACCCAGGAGTGAGCCACCACCTTGGCAAGCATCTCAAGTGCCCTCTATCTGTGTGTGGTTTCTATCGGACTAGGAGGGATTTTCCCCTTTTGATCTAGAGATAATCAGTTCATCCCTGCCAAGAATACTTCTTTCAAGTTGTGCAGTAACCATGTACTCTTAAGTCCTGTGTGGAGAGCTGCATTTTTGCCTGAGGAAAGCTTTGTGTATAGCGATTTGTCATAACTCTTGGGATTATGTCAGTCATGCGTATGAAGTGTCCGTCACTGTTGTTTCCTGATATCAATAGCTTATGTGAAACTCCCTCCTGAGAAATTTGCCCCTAAGAAGCAGGGAGAGGGTGGCAAGGATCTCCCCACGGAACCTAAGAAGCTGCAGCTGAACTCTGCTGAGGAGCTGTACGCCGAAATCCGGGACAAGAACTTCAACGCCGTGGGCTCGGTGCTGAGCAAGAAGGCCAAGGTCATATCTGCAGCCTTTGAGGTAGGTGCTGTAGGCGGGAGGCTGTCTGGATCTGCAGTCAGCCCGTGAGTCTATTCTGAACCTTGCTGCTGCTGTGTGTGGCTGCTCTAATGCAGGCTTGGCCTTTTATTCCTCAGCTGCCCGTTCATAGAAAACTGAGTGTGTGGGATCCAGATTGTGTTGCTCAGCCTGCGGGTGTTTGAGGGACTCAAATGAAAACCCTATTTTAAGAGGCTGTAGAGGGCCTACCCTGAATTAAAGCCTTGTTAATGCCTTGGAAGGTACTTTGTAGAAGCATGAGGGGGAAAGCCTGGTCTAGGGCTTACAGTCTAAATGAGGCTGAGAGTATCTTAAACTAGCACAGTTAGGGCATGTGCCTGACTCCCTTTGCACAGTGCTGGAGCACCTTAGGTCCCTCTTACTGTTGGGAGCTCAAGCACAGACTTGAAGGACAAAACACTTGTGTCAGCAGTGTTGGGTTTTTGCCCCCAAGTGACTTATCCAGGGGGTGTGGCAGAGCACGGTGCTCTGGGCTCCTGCCTGAGTACTGGCCCGGCCTTCCTGGAAATTTTAAGCACCAGAACTGGCAGTTTGAGGAATGTGGGGCCAGAAGAGCAGGGAGGCAACCGGGCTGCGGGGCCTGCCTCTCGAACTGCAGACTCAGCACAGGTTTGTCATGGTGTTGGGTGTACACAGGGCCTGGCAGGCTGGGACCCTGCCTAGAGGCTCCAGGTGCTTTCACAGCCCCTGTGCATAGTCGCATGTAGGGATTGTCCTTCAGCCTGCAGAACTAAAAGATGCTGGTGACCTTTTCAGCTGGGTGTAGGACTTACTGCAGACATTGAAAGACTCCTGTTGACCTTTGTCAACTGGGACCCCTTGGAGAAAGGAGCTGGCAGCCCTTCCTGGGAAATGCAGTGGCTGAAAGTTGCATTCATGCAGTGACATTGGGCACTGAGCAGCCAAGAAATGTGAAAGCAGTTCTGTGGCAGGCAGGACTTGCAGTGTAGGTGTTATCTTCAGGCATGGACACACGGTTTACCACAGTGCACCCTCCGAAAAAGTGTGATTGGAAGTGTAGAGACTTGTGGCTCCCAGAGCTGTGTGATCTGGTGTGCTGTGACAGCTCTACTCTGAAGGACTGCACTGAGCTCCCACATTTCTCCGCTATTGAGGGCTTTGCTGCACAGCCTCACGTTAACTCCTGTAGTATTTGGCTTCGCCTTCTGCTAGCTGTCACTTCTGCCAGCCTTAAGACAAAGTAGGTGTACTGTGTATCAAATTCTGGAGCGCACTTGAATTTGAATTTGTAGCAATAGCTGTTTACTGGGGCATTAGTGCTGGAAGCTCCCAGAGTTTAGAGTACTTCACACTGGAAGGGGATGGAAGAGATGTGAGAGATTCAGATGTAATGGGTGATAATGAAACAGCAGCACGTTGGCAGCAGAGGACTTTTTAAATGGCAGACTTCATTAGCACTTGCCTGCCTACACATGCCCGTGTAGATCATTCTCACTTAGTCAAGTTTATTTGTAAGGAAGCTTGTTGCAAATTTAAATTAAAAAAGATGTGGGTAGTCCAGGGGGGCGACATGCAAACTTCTGGATTCTTCTGGCACAAGAGGCTGTATCTGCCTTTTGTCTTGATCCTGTGCAGATAGCATATGACATAACCAGGGGCAGACCTGGAAGTGTTGCAGGTGAGCTGGCAGCTTGAGGAGTGGTTTGGGGGCAGCTCCTTCTCTGTGTGTGTTACTTGGCACCAGAGCACAGCAGCTCAAATGGAGGCGAAAGGCCCTGAGTCTGGCCGAGTTTTCAGCTGGGGGTTGATGTTCCACAAAGGGCTTGCTGGGCCCCACCGCGCCTCTGCGGAGAGCAAGGTGATACCTCTGTTTTGTGGGTGAGGAAACGACCAGGACTGACAGGCTGAGGCAGGCAGATGTGAACGCTACCGCGGCCCCCCCCCCATGTTTCTGACACCTCCCTGCTCTAGCCCTGATGCCTGCCCTTGTTGTTCCATCTCACCCTGCTCTGTAATGGGAGTTCTTAAATTCTGAATTTCTTCTCTGCTCTTATTTCCTCCGAGGCTGGAATTGTTTCCCACTTCTGTTCTGGACCAGAACAAAGCAGGGAGAGAGAGCACTGAGATACCTTTCCATCTCCCTATTCCTCTGCTTTCTGCAAGGATTCCCGTCATATGTGACAGCACTACAGACAGGAACTTTATGTAACATCTGCCACGTGGGCCAGTATTTTATCCACTTGGTTGATATCTCCTGTATGTTAAGTCCTTGGGACAGGGTTAGTCTAGCTACAGCCCAGCCATGGTTTCTGTACTCCTGAAGAAGTATAGTAATTAATACCTGCCAGCTTCAGAGGGCAGTTGTCTGGCTTAATACATTAATTATACTCTCTTTGGTCCCTGGCTGGACTGCACAGTAGGGTAGAGTCCAGATTCAAATTGCAGCAGGAGGGGCAGCCTCCATATGTAGAGAAAATTTATTCCAGGGCTATGTTTGAGTATTTTCTGCTGCAGTAGGAGATGGCACTATCAGTTGACGGGGAGCAGGAGCATTATTTCAGTCCGTGCCAATGCAAACCGTCTGTCCAGTGATCAGATATTGCTGATACTACGCAAGGAAATCAAACTGTGCAACGAAGCTCATGTCTTTCACTTTTGCTTACACAAAGCACTAACTTCTGCCCAAAAGTCTGCTGTTGATTAAGTGATGTGACGGGTGCTGCTGTCTAAGCTGTAACCGCTGTGTTTCCTTAGGAGAGGCACCATGCGAAAACAGTTGGAGAGATTAAACAGTTTGTCTCGCAGCTGCCCCACATGCAGGCAGCAAGGAGTTCTCTGGCAAACCATACCTCAATTGCAGAGCTAATCAAAGACATTACTAGTGAGTGAATTTCTAAGTCTTCCCTCTACAGCTGGTTTTGTGTTGCACCTTTTGTTGGGGAGAGATGCACTTTAATTCACTCCACTGTTGAGTGCCAAATTTGTGTATGTGTAACTAAAGCTAGAATTACTGAAGGCGTTTAACACAGAAAATGAACTGGCTGTTATTTTTAAGTACTGATGTGCTAATGTATTGATTTCCTTTCCATCATAGCATCAGAAGATTTCTTTGATAATTTAACAGTGGAACAAGAGTTTATGTCAGGAATAGACACAGACAAGGTGAGTTGCAAGGCTAATTCTGTTGCAGATACAGACTTCTATGACCCCTTGCTAAAAGGCTGGGTACTTCTTTTTAAAAGAGTAAAGGCTGAGCAGAGGCTGACTGCCTTTCAGTGCTAGAGTTCTGGGAGCTTTGTCTGCAGGGTTGCCTGCTGCATTCTGGAGAGGAGATGCACAGTGCTGAGCATACTTCCTGTGAGGGCCGGGGAGCTGTGGTTGTCAGTATGAGCCTTGGCTCCCCTGAAAGACGTGCAAAGACCTGCACTTTGCCTTGGACAGTGATCTATGGATGGTGTGAGGGTGAGGCTAGTCTGAGTTCTGGCAAACTGCTTCCAGCCTGTCAAATATGACCCAAGCCTTGACCATGGAGTCATTACTGCTTGTGACATGGAACCAAGGCTCTTACGCAAAAATGTAAGCTGCCTACACTGCCACTGCGACCTCTGTTCTGTTGCTCTTTAGTGCCTGACGTGGAGATGAAAGCATCCCCCTTCATTTTACTTGTAGCACTAAGAAGTTTTTTCAGGTGCATTAAATTCTCAGAGGGGGTCTGGCTGATGTGTGGGCCGGGAGCGGTCCGAGGCCCTCGGGGGGCCTGTGCGCGGCGGGCTGTGGCCAGCAGCCCGGACACGCCGGGTCGGGGAATGCAGGCCGGCGGGCTAGAATTAGGCACGAATGCGTAGCGGTTGATTAAAGATTATTTTACTTACACCAAAGATGGTCGCGGTGCAGGCAGGAAAACTTGCTTGAGTTGCAGTTACAAAACAAAACAAAACAAAACTCGAACCTGCAGGGCACGAGAGTACGTCGCAGGGGGTTTTCGGCGACGGGAAGATGCAAAACAC